CTAGCTAGGTATAAAAGTCTTGGGTCACAAACTTTTCCTTCCTTAAGACCTATAGGCATTGCTCCATGATCATCTGGACAGCTTCTTCTTGTTGATTTTCAATCTGTATGTATTTTTTCCTCATTCTGGTATTTCATATGTTTTGTGAAGATGTGTTTGGGTGTTGGCTTCTTTTCTTTAGTTTTTCCCAAAAACTCAGTGAACCCTTTCCTTGTGTATGTATACATCTGTCTTTAGCTCAGGAATCCTGTCTTTGATTCTTGTTTCTACTCCATTTGGCCTCTGCTGCAGTTCTCTCCCACTTTTTCTCTTATGTCTGTATCATTTTCTTTTTCATAGTTTCCATGTCTCTATTCTTTTCCTCTAAATTTTGGAAGAGTTTCTCCAATTTATTCTTCATATTTCTGAATCAGTTTTCTATAGTATCATTTTTCTTTACTGCTTCCAAAGTGGATTTTAATTGTGCTACTCGGTTTTTAGGTTTTGGTTTTGATTTTTGTTTTTCCAGCTCTTTTTTCTCTCATATGCCACCCTTTTTATGTCATCATATGACCTTTTCAGCTCAGCCTTGTCTTCCCTTATGGCTTTGTTCTCCTAATTCATGAAGCTGTGTCTTTTTAGAATTTTCCTAGTCTGCCATGCCCATTAAGTTACATATTGTCTATGGCTGTTTTCCAGCTATGGCAATAGAGTTTGGATAGTTGAGATAGAGGCTGTATGGCCTGCAAAGCCTAAAATATTTATTGTTTGGCACTTTGCAAAAAAAAAAATGCAAATCCCTATACTAACATGACAGCTGGATTCCCATCTCAGTTCTAAGCTGGATGGCAGGGGAATGTATATAACTCTAGCTCCAATTCCTAGTTATTACCAGCCTTTTCCCCTGATTCACTTCTGCTCTGTGGAGGTGGTTGCCTTCTGTCTCTACTGCCTGATTTTCTCATTCTCTGCATCAATGATTTACCTAAAAATATCCACTGCCCTTCCAGTCCCTCCTCTTCTTTAAGATTCCCCTCCCTGGGGGAGGGCACTGCTACCAGTGCCCCCACCCACTTCCTGCCCATTTGTTTTCTGGTTGTTCTCTCCCTGTCATTTTCTTTTTTTCAGGATCTTTCCATTTATCAGACAAAGAGCTGTGTCCGGAGGTAAAACCTGGACAGGTTTAGCTTGTTCCACCACCATCTGCCTTTAATTAATAGAGATTGCTCCCAGATTCCTACATTGGGTCATCTATCAGTTTAGTTTTTGGCATTAGTGTGAATTTTCATTTTTTTTTCATTGTCTTTATAGCTATTTTGGAACAAAACAAGGAGAGGCTACATGGGTGGCTGCCAAGTAGATGCCATTTTGAAGAAGTCCAAGCTGCAGTTTAAAGCTGTGGTTTGTCCATCTTGAAGCAGTCTCTGTAGCTTTGTGTGTATTTGATAAAAGAAGAAAATACAGGAACATTTTCCTTATCCAGGGACCACTTGTCCAATGACCTCAGTTCTCTGGAATACACCCAAAACAAAGAGTCCACAGGCAGCCAGAGAGCTGCCATGGTGTCCGTGCTCTGGAGGTTATGCACGTTACCCAAAGGAGAGCATTTCAGCCTCTCATACCAAGCCTATTCACCCATGCTTTACATACAAGCCTAACAAGGTTGATCTTCCTATTCTCCAAGATGACAATTAAACTATAAGCAGCAAATCTGAAAGGAGCGGGGGGCATTTCACGACAACAAGCACACAGACCTGACAAGAATTTCTGGCTGACAGAAAGGAAAGGCATAGGAACCCCCCCACACACACACACACACACAAATACAACTGCAAATGTTCAGAGGTTGACACTATTTTCTGTGGGGGCTACCAGCTTGAGTTTTTCTGTGTGAGCTCTCACCTGTCTGGGACTTTCCTCTACTGAGCACGGTGCTCTGTGCAAGTCATGGGTGCAGAGACCCTGTCCCCACCTCCCGCAGCTACAGTTGGTTCAGACAGTGGTTTCAAACCGTGGCTGCATATTAGAATCACCTGGGCAACTTAAACAATCTAGGCACTTAGGCTGCCCCCTTAACCAATGATATCAGAATGTCTTAGGGGTGGGACTCAGGCATCAGTGTTTTTTAAAAGCTTCTGGGTTATTCCAGGGGGTACAGTCCAGGTTGGGAACCAGGGGGTTAGGAGTACAGACTCTGTGGCCAGATTGCCTCATCTGTAAAATGGGGCTGATTGGCAGGGTAGAGAGTGGGGCCGCATGCCTCATCAGTGCCGTGTGAGTGGCCACCATTACTGAAGCACAGACTCTTGATACTCATGGGGATGGCTGTGATTTGTTAAGCAGGGTCTGGAGCTCGAGCTAAGTAGGCAGTGGTGGATGCCACACACTCTAAGAGGATTTCTGTCCTAGGTGGATACTTGGCTCTGAAAAGAAGAGCTGTAGATGTTACTAGGAGGGACAGTGATGGAGAGGGGAGGGAGGAAGCGAGAGACAAAGGTTCAGGGGTAGGTAGTCACAGGACTTGGCCACCTTCCTTTCTGCTCTGCGGTACAGGGCACCCGGGCACCTTTCTCATCTCTAGCTTCATTGTCTTGAAGATGAATTCACAGTCCCTTCCTCACAGGGTTGCTGTGAGGCTCTGAAGAGCTGACGTGCTACAAGGCTAACTCTTGACCAGGGCTGTCAACCTTAGTGCTGCGATGGAGGGATGTATCTTGACCCACACAGGAGAGGCAGGGCGTAGGTTTCTTGACCAGAATGCAAGTGCTAACGTGGGCCAATGACTTGCATTAAAAATAACAAAAAAGCGATGAGGGTGGATTCAAAGCTGTCCCTGTAATAACATCACCCAGCACCACTTGCATTCCAATTCACTTTCCTAAGTGGAGAGAGCAGGGCGGGATTCCAGCCAGCTCACTCCAGGACCACAAGGACTTATGCACAACCTGGGTTTAGCCATCGCAGTGGCTCTACTATGAGTGTCATCTCCCTGAGCTGGCAGACATGAAGCTGAGACTGGCTGTTCCCAACAGTGAAGTGCAGTGCGATGATAGTGGTGCCAATGCCATTGTTCTGTGTGTTTGGGCCGCCACCACCTCGGAGCTCGACCTCTCGGGCTTGGCCACGGTAGAATGCAGGCCACTCTGGACGACCCAGTCCCTGCATTCCAAGAGGTCCTTCCTCCAGTAACCAACCAGCCATGCAGCTGCCAGGAGGGACTGATACTGTAGCCTTTGGTGTCCCTGAGCAGGGCATCCTGGGGTAGGGAGGTCAAGGGCTCAGACCACAGGAGAGGAGGAAGGGGGGACTGTTTTATTCCCATTTCCTGAGACTGGTTCCTAACTGGGAGCCCCAGGAAGCTGGCTCAGGAGGCAGCAGGGAGCTGCCAGCCTATGGCTCCCAGGGTGATGGGATGGAGCTGTTTTGACTTTAATTGAGGAACCAGTCAGTGCATCTTGGGAGCTCAGAGGAGGCAGCCACCTCCCATGGAGCCAGAGGCTGAGTCGGGGGTGATCTCTATTCTCTGCAGATCTAAGCCGTTGGTTGAGGGAGCAGGTGGCATTGGGAGGCCTGACTTCATGCTCTGGCTTCGTCCTGTGCTCCCACACAAATCACTCCTTAGCCCTAACTTGGCCTTGGTTTTCCCTTCTGCACAGTGAGGGGCTGGCACCTACTCCTGGGGCAGTAACTTGCGTGTCTGTGTGTATGTCCCCTTCACCTGTCTAGTCCCCCTTCCCCACCCCTCATCAGAACACACACCCAGCCCACTTCTGTCGCCCCATGCTGTCATCGGTCCTAGAACAGGCTGGGTCCTCCATAGCCCAGGCCAGCCTGGCTGGTCTTTCCTGCCAGCGATCTGGGAGCTGCTGGAATATGGGGCATTCATCATTCCAGTTCTGAACTTAGCACCCCACTCACACTGAGGGGGAATCCATTGTTGTTTACGGAGACACAGCATGGTCTCCGTAACACAGAGTGCAGTGATTTGGGCATCTCGGACCCGTGTTCAAGGCCTGGCCCTGGTGCTAGTTGTCCGGGATACATTGGGCAGGCGGCCTCAGTTTTCTTATCTGCAGAATGGGGATAACGCCCACATGTCAAAGAATGGTTGTAATCATTGAATGAAATCCAGCATGTTGAGTAGTGCTCCAGGGCAGGCTGGAGTGATTAATTGGGCCTCTGTGGTGGGCCAGCCATCATGCTAAGAGTGTCACATGCAGACCTGACAAAGGAGTTGCAGCACCTTGTCCAAAGAGCAGAAAGAGCTGACGGAGAGGAGGGCGCGATGCACTGGGGTTGGAGGTGTGTATTTGGTGCGCTGCCACAGGCCACCCCCAGGAAAAGCAGGCCCAGTTGCTGGACACAGGGCCACCTACATCCTGCCCAGCTCACACTCGAGCTGTGGGAAGCTCCCGAAGTGATACCCAGTGGACGCAGGCTGGGCAGCCCTGCCTCTCAGCAGTAGGGCCCATTAGAACTGAACTCTTCTTCGGGGGGCATTTTATTTGCACACTCCAGTAGAGTGGACACCAAAGGGGTTTTCTAATGCTTCATGGGCTGCTAATTTCCTCCGTGACCTCTTTTGTTGGGGCTTGACCCCAGCCAGAGGCTCCGCGCCATGAAAGCCAGCGCCTGACACAGACCCGGGGTGCAGGGTGACAATGAGGCCTCTATCGGCTTTAATCAGGCTCCACTTGCGTCTTAAGAATAGGGGAATTTGTGTGGCGCTCAGAAGCCCTGGGTGGCACAATACGGGAGCCCCCAGAGTCCCTCACAGGGGCCAAGGGGGCTGCAGGCAGCGGCTAAAGGATTCGTCAGGCCGGAGGGGGCGTGGGTCAGGCGAGGGCCCTTTGTCCCAAGTGCCTCTTTAGAAGCTGGGCCTGCCCTGAATGGCGGCTGCTTGGCCTGGCCCATGGGTATCACAGGCCTCTGGGTATTTAGGGAGGTGGCCTCCCACTCGCCGCCAGCCTATTCAGCGCCAGCCTAATTAGGTTTTGTCTGTGTTCTCCCCTTCCCTGCAGACTGTGATTCCTACTGCAAGGCCTCCAAAGGGAAGCTGAAGATTAACATGAAAAAGTACTGCAAGAAGGACTATGGTGAGTGAGAGTCCCCTTGTCTGGGGAGGAGGGGAGGGCGACATGTGACCAGTGAGGAGCTGGGTTTGGGTACAAGTGGCCCTGAGCGGGTGTTGGTGAAGTCCCTGCCACTGGACAGGAGCCAAGTTGGACAGCTCCCACGCCCAGGAATTTCTCATCTCTTCCACCTTGGCCCTCGGAGGCAAGGGGCATGAGGGGCCATGGGGCTTGAAGGCTGGGTTTACCCCTAGCTCTGCAGGGAGGTACCCAGGCCACTGGGGCTGCCTGGCGCTGGGACTCCCAGGTTGGCTTCTGCCTTCACTCTGAGCCCCGAGATGCTGTGTAGCCGCAGACCAGACACTTTACCTCTCTGGTCTTCAGTGCCCTCATCAATTCTGTGGACATGCAACCTGAGTCTGTGTTCCTCAAAGTGAGGTACTCAAATCAGGAAGGGGGTGAGAGCTCCGTGGTTTATTTAAAATGCAGATTCCTAAAGTCTCTTTCTTCCAAGGGTTGATTCCGTGAGGCCGAGGTAGGTTGGGGAAATCTGCATTTTAAACTGCTTGCTGGTCATTCTGATGCACCTGAAGTTTGAGCAGAGCCAAAGAGAGATCTCCGCAGGCCTTTTCCAGCCCTGGGAGCCACCTGCAGAGATTCCCTGTCACCTGAGCCCCCGGGCTTTCTAAATCGAGAAGGGGCTGTTCTGTCCCCTAACTCTCATTACACACTGTTCTCCCTGACCCTGCAGACAGTGGGCCCCTGCACCCCTTCCCTGTCGAGCGCCCCTTTCCTGCCTCAATGCTAAGAATCTCCGTGCGCCAGCCTTGTCCTGTGGGAGGTGAGGAGCTGGCCTTGTGATTTCTAGTCCCTGGGAGTGTTCTCACTGGCCAGATGCCATGTGACACAGGGTCAAGGCCTGACTGTGGTCATGGTGGGTGGGAGGCAGTTGGGAAGCCTGCAGGAGGAGGGGAAGGAAGCCTTATCTGCCCACGGGCAGGTGTGTGCAGATAGCAAACGGGACACTTCAGAGCGAGAGAAGCAGACAGAAGTCCAGAAAGAATCACCCAGCCACCCACTGGCAGAGCTGGGAAGGCCATATGTAGAGACTGGGGCATACGCGTGGGCGGCTGAGGCTCTGGCCACCCAGCCAGGAAGTAGCTGCAGCCTGGACGCAGACCCCGGGGCTCTGAATCCAGGCTTGGAGCTTTCCACCGTGGGGCCCTCCTCCTGAGCCCGTAGGTCTGGCTGATTTGGGGTGGGGCTGGTCCTCCTTTTCCCAGCCCCCAACAGTTCACTGCCTACCTCCCCACTCCAGCTCCATGTCATCTGGTCTCACCTGTCGGCTCTCCAGTTGCCCCCCGGAGGCAAATTCCCCACTCAAGGCCTCAGTGGCCCCCCCTACCCCAGCATCGCTCTGGCTTCATCTGGGAAAGTGGACTGGCCTTTTTTTTTCTGCCCACTTTTCCAGGTCTGCGCTGGTCATGCTTCTCCTGTGGGACCCAAGGCAAGTCCAGTTGCTTATTCGAGCCTTGGTTTCCTTGTGTGTTCCATGGAGGTGATGCACCTTCTGTGTGTGCACAGGAAACATCCAGGAAAGGCCCGGTGTCTCCTAGGCTCCCAGGACGGAATGGCCTCTACTAGTCTGCAGGGAGCTGGGTGGGAAGGGAGGAAGGAAGAAGTGGAGATGGAAGAAGTGGGGTGAGAAGGAAGGGCCCCCGGATGAGGCGGACTCATCATTCAGATCCATCCATCATGTGCCCCCACCCTCCTGACCCAAGGAGGCCTGGCAGCCTGGCCCTGGAAGCCCGGCCCCATGGGGGTCCTAAGTAGGCCAGCTGTTTGAACCAAACATAAGGATTTTTTTTTTAATGAGGACAATGCTTAGGACCTTTTAGTAGAATGAAATAAATGGTGAGCCCCAAAGGAACCCAAAGGAATTTTGAGAACTTCCAAAACTTTCTCGTTTTACTGTGTGTGTGCTCATATACATGTACATACACACGCACACCCCCACTCGCAGTGACCCAGCCACACTCCCCACCGGCAGCCTGGCCTCCCACAGGAGGAAGTCAGAGCAACTGGCAGGTTTTGCGTGTCACTTCAGAAGTGGCCAGGCCATGTATACCCCTGTTCAGACCCCTCAGGGGTCCACAGTAGGTTCCTCAAAGCCCCTTTAAAGTGTTAGCATCCCCAGGTAGTGCAGAAACTTCTGGCTCCCACTGGAAAGCAAACCTTGATTTTGAAAACAAGCTTTGAGGTGCTTTCAAGATAAAGGACACGCTGTCAAGATAACGGACAGCCACAGGAGAGGCCCCAGGTTGTTTTGGATGAAGTTTGTGTGACCCCAACCTGCAGGGCCACGTCCTCCCAGCCCTGGGCATCTGAGTTAGCTGGAACTGCGAGGTGGCCTCCTGTGGGGTGAGGACTTGGGCAAGAGGGCCTCCGGAGTCTGTCATCTTCCCAGGCTGGGGGTCTGGAGACGGAGCCCAGGATGTCCTCGCAGGCCCAGAGAGCCCCGGGGTCACAGAGACGAGCCCTGTCCCTCTCTCCCTGCCTCTCCTCCTCCCCATCCCCCGCCCGGAACAGAAACTGGAGAGGAAAGGAATAGTTGGCCTACATGGGGAAGGGTTGTTTTAGTTTTAGTCTTGAAGTATCCTTAAGTAGGCGCTCTGGAGAGGAGCGAGGCAAAGGCGAGAGCTGAGCAATCTTTCTGTAAGGTGTCGGCCTGCAGCCCTCATTATATTCAAGTGAAAAAAAGGAAAAATTTGACTCACTTAAAAGTTACCACAACGGATCCCATTTTCCACCCCATTCTATTTAACTCACCGTGGAATTCTGCGTTTCCACCCCTGATATTCCCGGGGACACTTCGGCCCCCTCAGAGCTCTCCTGGTCTTCTCATTCACCATCTGGCAGGTCTCCTTTTCTCTGCTGAAGGGAGCCTGATGCCCTCTTTTCATAGACCCAGAGGGGTCCCCAGGCTCTCCTTGAGCTCTTGCCCTGCTGAGTGCCCCCCTAGGCAATAGGGGTTTCTCTGTGGATGGGGGCTGGTGGGGCACAGCCTCTGGGTTCCATTTGACCTCTGCTCCCTGACTCAGCCCTCGCCTTCTCCCCATACATGATTCCCTCATGGATTATCAGACTGAAGCAGATGTCAACGGTGGCGGGCCTAAGCTCCTTCATGTCACAGGTGGGACCCTGGCCCAGCCAGGAGAGGTGACTTCCCCAGCGGAGGGCCAGCATCCTGCTCCTTCCACAGGTCCTTTCCTGGGTACCCACCCCCCCCAACATCACATTTAACCCCAGGACAAGAGGAACGAGGAACAGCCCTGCATGTCCACCTCTCCATACTTCACTGAAGCTACCCCTGCTCCTGCCCCCACATCCACTGCCAGGCACTGCCCAGTTGTCCACATTTCTGCTGCCGGACAAGACTTGAAGAGCAGCACATGCAGGAGAGAAAGCAGGGTGTGCCTTCAGGGAGCTGACGAGGTCCGAAGCTGTTGTGCCATCAGCTTTAATGTCCTCCTAACCATGCCCCCCGGCCTGTTGCCCCAAGGCCAGAACTGACCTGCCCTTCCCATTCCCCCAAAACACTGGAGGGTCTCTGGTCCCCAGGCCTATCCCTGATACTCTTGGGGTTACCTAAACATTGGGGAGCATCCCCACCCATCAGCATCTAGGCTTGAGTATTCAGGCAGGAGACAGGACAAAGAAGTGTCAGGAAGGGGATTGCAGGGGTTCCTGGAGACAGCTTACAAGAGCCCAGCTCCTTGGGGCGTGGGGCGGTGGGTGGGGCCTCAGGGAGAGGCTTGTTAAGGAAGGCGTGAGTGGCACCCGCAGGGGCTGGGCTGGGCTCAGGGTCACAGCAGGAGGCCAGCCCAGCGGCAGCTGCAGGCCTGGCTCTGAGGATGGGGCGCCAGGTCTTGGCTGTAGGACCTTGTGGAAAATCTTCTGTATATCTTGTTGGGACCCTGGACCCCTGGCTGAAGTGTGAGTAGGGGTGTCCCTCTGGAATCGGGCTGAGGGGTTGGGGGGTAGACTTGGGCCGACCCAGGGTGAGATGAGCAGGAAGAGGACTAGGACAGCACTGGCCTGGGGATAGGCGAGTAGGTGAGTCTGGCCAGACCATGCCAGCCAAGGAGGACTGGGGAGGGAGGTCCTGAGGGGCTGCATAATCGCAGCTCTCTGGCTGATACCCCAGCGGGGAGCCAATTAGGAAACACATTTCCTTCCCTTACAGCCAGGGCACTGATATTCCAGAAGCTGCTCATTAGAACCATGGGTTTGCTGTCCCTGCTGGGTGAAGAGCAGGCCCCTCCTCTGAAGCCAGCTCATGAGGGTCTTGATGTCATGCCTTTGCAGAGCGTAGATTTGGGTCTCCACTGACCTAGACGGTGAACACAAGGCAGGGGGTAGTGGGGGAGTGAGGAACCCCCAGGGGCTGGCTTCGGGCGGGCGTGCAGGTCCTTATCTGTGTTCCCTTGGGCTTGTTGACCAATGAGAGAGGGCCCAGCCTGGGTAGGTTTGAGGTGGGCACCAAGCAGGACAAGAAGGAACTGGAGTGTGTGTGTGGGGGGCGGCCCTAGGGTCAAGCCCCGCCATGCTTCTCATATCTGTCCAGAGAAACTCCATGACAGGGAATGGAGGCCTGTCCCATCTCCTTCTGCAGGGAAAGGGGCCCTGGCCCTGGAGACATGGACTCCTCATCTGCTCTGTGACTTTAGACAGGGAGCCTGACCAGCCTGGGCCTCAGTGTCCTTATCTGTGATCACGGGCGTCTGACCTCCATCTAGATAAGACATATCCCAGCCCCACCCCACCAGGCGCCATCTCCAAGGGCAAGGGTCCACAGTGAGGCCGTCACTGCGTCCCACCTCTCCTGGGGCCACCTCAGTCCTCTGTTGCCCTCTAGGGGAATCCAGCTCACCTTGCAAATGCTTGAAAAAGCGCCAGTGAGAAAGCTTAAGTGTGGGACAGTTGTTCACGGAAAACAGTTTTATTATTTTCAAGTGTTTTAGCAATTCCTGACAACTTTTCAGGAAACCCGCCCTTGGAGGGACCCGTCCTTTGTGTAAGTGCTCCGAGTGAGTGTGCTTGTGTGACAGTGTGTGTGTGAGCGTGTGCGTGCGAGGGTATGCACGTTCCCCACAAAGTCTGCACCCGGCCGCTCCAATACAGGCAGAGCACATCTCTGCTGGAGTCGCCCGCTCTGCGGCACGTGTACTGGGGGCCCAGGCTCCAGAACCTCTGCCAGTCAAGGCGATGAGGATGACAGAGTGACACTTTGTTCTCAGGCAGGCCTGACCAGGGGCTGGCACCTGGGCTTGGTATGGGAAACGCTCCCTTGTAGCCTCTCCGTTCACCTGGTGTGGAAGGGGGCAGAAGGGGGCCTGCTTTCGTGCTCCCGTGACCTCCCCAGTGAATGCCCGCGTGTATCCAGGCTGGGCCTTCCAGCCCACCCAGCCCTACAAAGCGCCCTCCCCACTCCCCCCCTGGCCTGGGCCCTGGCCCTCAGCCTCCTGACTTTTCCTTTCCCCTTCTGTCTTCCTTCCTCTTTACTCCATCTTGTCCCTGTGCTCCTTTGGAGGTACCGCTGTCAGGTCCTCACTGCCCCTCATGTTTGCACAACCTCCCTCATCTCACGCAGCCGCTGTGCACAGGCACCCCCCACAGGCACAGCAGTGCACATCCCAAGATGTCCTGCTTGCTCACACACCCATCCCCACCCCCAGCCGTTCCCCTCAAGGAGCTTACAGTCTAGGAGGGGAACAGACATGCAGATGAGAACATAGGAGGCGGATGTGTGGCCAGAGTCCAGCCTCAGGTGGGCCTAAGCAGGGTCTAGCCCATCCTCCGAAGAGGTTGGGGAGGAGGGCTTCCTGGAGGAGGGAGCCCCAATAGCCAGTGTGCACTGGGCAAAGCAGGGATCCCAGGCAGAGGGAGAAAGGCCTCTAAGCACAGAAGTAGAAATAGGCTGGAGAAGTGGGAGAAGAGCAAGTGTGGGATGCTGGGTGCAGGGGTGGGGATCAAGGAGAGGCTGGCGTGGGCCTCAGCAGCCATGTCCGTGTCCATGTCCGGAAAGCACTCTGACCCCACTGAAAGCCAGGCTGGCTCATGTTATCTCCGGGGGCTCCTGCTCACTTGCCTGAGTCGTAGCCTCTGGTGGCCTGGGTGCTGCCCCCTGCCTCTTCCTTCTCCCTGAGTTTCAGAAAAAGCGGGGAAGACAGCTCACATTCTGAAAGGTGAGATCATCTCACTTTTGCCAGTTCTTGGAAAAATTATTCGTTCCCAGAAATGTTTATTAGTCACCCATTTTGTTGAAAGACATTTTGGCACCACCGGATGGAAAAATCAAAATGCTTTTCACAAGATGATTTGTCTCAAGTATTCCTCCTAAGATCCCACAAGGATTATTTCTGAGGATCCAACTCAAAGGGGAAGTTCTATTGGCACCTGTGGGGAGACGCTGGGTTCATTAGGCTGCATGTGTATGTGTGTGCTTTCTTGGGGGCTCCGTGGCAGAGGTGGGCCTGGGGACCTAAGTGAATTCCGATTTATAGCAAAATACCCTTTTGTGCCCTGGTACCTCCTGGGGCAGTGGGAACCCAAGACAAGAGCCTTGCTGGGCCAGTAACTGTTCCCTCCCCTGCAGGCCCTGGACCGGGCACCTCACAGTCTTCATTCTCATCCGTATTGAATCCTCAAAAGCACCTTTGAAGCAGGAATTTCTTTCTGTCAATGGGATGTCAAGACTCAACAAGATGAAATAACATGCCCAAGATCAGGGACTCCAAGGTCGAGGTCTTTCTCCTCCCCTGTGCCGAGGGAGGCCCTGAGCCTCTGGCAGCATAGAGTGGGCACAGCAGCCTCTTAGAAGGCTGAAGAACTGGCTCCCTGGTAGGACCCTTGACTGTCAGCTCTGGATAAGCCTCAGATGGGAGGCCCCAGAGACATCTACATGGGATCACCATGGTGTTGGGGTAACTGTACGGTGAGGGGGGCTGTTGGAGATGATGGAGCCGAGGTGATGGGCATGATGGCAGGGATGTCAGTGATGGTGGTAGAGGTGGGGTTGGCACAACCATTCTGGTGAGGAGCATGGCCTTGTGGTAGAGAAAGCTCATGGGCAGATCTGTGATGGAGGATGGGGGCCAGCAGTGGAGGTGGGTGTGGTGGGAATGACTGTAGGTTACCGTGGAGCTGGCATGGGTTGTGTGGCGCTGGTGGAGATGGCAGCTGATGCCTGGCCCTTGCCCGACTCTTGTGAGGGGAAAGTCTCACGCTCAGACCTCTCTTTTTTCAACTAGCCCAGGGACATGGGGTCTCAGCCAATGATGGTTTCTCTCCCTCATTATACCCCCTCCCCTTCCTTTTCTTGACCTTGGGGTCAATAGCTATTCCTGATCAGGATTAATCCCTTCAAGGGTGGAGAACCGGGTGATTATCAATTCAGTTTTAGGGACACAGTGCCTGCGTCTGCAGCATGCTGTGACTTTTGGGCTTCGGGGTGAGTAAGATGTTAGAGGAATGCCCTGTGGGATGTCCCCCAAAGGGAGGGCTGCCTAGGGAGCCAGGCAGGTGGCAGGGCCCTGGCTGAGGCTGGGAGGCAGCTGGTGGTGGTGGCTGGGAGAAGCCAGACCCCCACCCTCCAGCATTGCCCCGAGCTCCAGGGAGCAGGACGCAGACCAGCCAGCAGTGCATGGCATGGTGTTGCAGAGGCTCACTGACCCTTCCCTGGGGGTCACTGGCCCCTTGGGGATCCTCCAATTTCCCAGCCAGATGTGACCTCCCCCCGTCCGGGAGGGCCAGCCCCATATGGAGGCCAGATGTGGAGTTGGGTCCACATGAGTCAGCCTAGGGTCGCGGGATGCGGGTGACCACCAGGTTGGGCGGGGACGGCTGGGGGCCCCAGTGACAGCTCGACATAAAAGCCCCTGATCCCACAGGGCGCTGCACAGATGGGGCCCTCCTGCCGTAGGTGGGTGGGGTGCA